TGCGAATTGAAAATAAAAATTTAAATTATATTTTTGTTGTATAAAAACCTATATCTGGTGCTTGAACATCTCTTGTGTTTTTAGTGTTTTTACCATTGCGTATATTATTATTTTCTATAGGTACGCGCATATTTAAATCAATTTTAAGTTATTTATACCACTATAGCCTATGTACACCACCGTTTTCACTTCGGTACGTCGGTATTTATTTATTTAAGATAATATAATATAATACATCAGTTTGTGTGATAACTGATAAGGTAATTAGAAAATAGTTAAATATGTATATACTTATAAGTTATAACGTAGTGACATAACTAATAGTAATAACAGCTAGTTATAATATGTATGAAATATGCGATTTGTGTTTGGCAAAAATTGGTACGTGGGAGTAACTATATGTGGCATTGACTTATAAGTTAAATGCTAGTCACAATAATATAATAACATGACGTAACATTAAGGTTTTCATTATATAATATTATACGTTCTATACCAACGTGATATTTTCGGCAAAAATTAATTCAGCTTATATCATACAACAAATGCAACTATATAGTGTTTATAATCAATAGTATTACTCTCATAGATGAATAAATATTATAAAATACCCTGTTGTAAGGCTTCGTTGTAGGTATAATAAATATTATTCAATTCAAATTGAATACGTTCATTACAGCGATACTCAGTGTATATCTATTATCTGTAATGTCACTGAGTCAAAAAAATATTTTTTTTGGCAATGATTAAATTTGTATGGACTATAAAAATATTTTTAGGTTTGACTATCATTATTGAATAAATAGTATGTTGATTTTAATTCAGTGTGATGAATTATTTTCATTACTATTTTCAAAAATTCTACGTATAGACGTAGTTGTATAGTTGTATAATATTTGTACAGCAATTTGAAACATATTATAGTTTTTACGTATAAAGTATATTTAAATATTTAATATGAATCTAAAAAAATTACGTTTTCGTTTCCACCGAATCGTTTTTCTTCCAAAATATAGTTTGATATTTGAGACCCTCAAGTCATAATTCTGGATTTATGTTGTATGATATTCCGAAAACGATTTAATTATATTTCCGAATATAATACGTTTTTACCCATATTGTTTGGTCCAATTTTTATGGTAGTTTATGTAGAACGATACGTGTATTGCTAATCATTCCCCTCGCATATTTCAACGAATAGTACCTACTTACAAATCGCATCCTAATATAAATATAAAAATAAATTACAAGTGTTCAACTTAATATACGTACCTACATAAATAAACAACTCTAAATAAAATATCCTAAAAAATTTAGTTTAAATGCCAACGGCAATAGCAAATTTTAGTTCTAAAACTAAATAAGTAACTGTTATGAAACTAATAATATTACTTGTATCAAATATTTTAAGTTAAAAATTGGTAAAATAAATGTATTAAACATCGTGCATAGGCAGGTACACTTGGATTAAATACTACAGTTCAAAAATCGTACGAGACCAACAGATTATAATATAGAATATAATAATAATTTATTATGTATAGGTTTAATATCCTATGTATATTATGTATATTATATACCTATAATACCTTCACCGAAAAAATAAATATACGTCGTAGGTATATTATTTATCTAAGCGCCAAATGAGCTCGCTTTGTCGAATCGTATATTCGTTTCGATAGGTAACGGAAATTACAAAATGTACTATACATTAATTTTAATTAATAATATCTAAGTACATGAATATTTGTTAAGTGTCTATGACAGGTACTTCATTTCAGATTTTGAAAGAGTGGGACAACTGATTAAATTGGCCGACTTCATAATATTTAAAAAATTATGGTTGTCTATGTATATAATATTTATGGACCATCAATAAAATAATTTTTCGGAACAAAACATGTATGCAATCAAAATTAATAATGAAGTGATGATAAACAAAGAACATGAAGTGTTTCAATTTATCCAATTAAATAATAATATTGAAGACAGTAAAACATTAATTTGTTTACTTATCCGATAAGTTACCTATCAATAAGTTTAATGGAATAATAATATAAATCTATTTAAAAAAACAATTTAATTATTTAATTATTTGTATATTGAATACTGCAAAGTACTTATAAATTAATTTATAAATCTAAATATTAATACATTCAACTATTTTAACTTAATTTTTTTAACTATTTAATAGTTATACTGATCGGATGTCATCATGGTAGTCGCCAGTCGGCAATCGGTGTTCGATGTTATCAACACTAACAATTTGTTATAAATCCATGTATACCTATTTTAAGAATTTCTCTAGATATTCCACAGAAGACGTGTTTCGCGTACCTTATAACGAATGTCATAAGCCGAGGAACCAGCGTTTTCCAACATTTTAAGAAACCGTGAAATTATTTCTCTAAAAAAGAATATTATCTGGTTTCTGAGTACATATTGTATAAAATAGTAAATACAAATTTACAGAATTGCCGACTTTTTAAAATTTCTTAGAGTAGGGCATTTGCCGTAGTCTACCGACGCACCTGGTCCATGGTGGGGGGTTTAATCCCTCCTACTCCTCTCTCGAGCATACCCCTGTATGGCTGTATGTATTTAGGATGTAGGTATAGTGTTGCACATCACCGAGGTTTTGTGCTTTGTATTAATGTCTAAATTTGGTCTGAGATTGCTCGATTATGAATTATGACCGACTCATCAACCTTCGGGGCTCTTATACCTTGATCGATGTCACAAATGTATGCAGAGTTGTCTATTTGCATCTGTTTTTGTTAACTTTAAAATTGATAATTTTATTATGTCTCTGAGAGTTGAATAAATTGGAATTAGCACTGTTGAAACCAAGCTACAGAATGTTTATAATGTATAGGCATCTGTACATTAAAATCTTGTCAGTTAAAACAAAATCGAAAAGCGTTTAGGAAATTGTTTAGACCATAATATATCAACGGACATGTAGCGGTGTTGTCTATGTACTATATACTAAGTGTTCTATAAGCTTATAACTCATAAGACGTCCCAATTTTCAAACAGGTGTCTCTCGAAATTTTGCGATCAAATCGGGACTCTAAATGTACACTGAACATTCAGCTTTTGTCACAATTTACAACAAATTGTTGACATGTTTTTGCTGTAGACCTACGTTATAAAATATTGATGTACATAATAATATGTATTATTTAGTTTTTATTATATTGTGTATTAATATTTAATACAATTATTTATTAGCTTTTGTTATAACTTAAAAAATAATTTTTTTTATGGCTCATAAGCTAACTTACTACAAACATCTATAGTAAAAAAAAAAAACAAATCGATTAAGGCTCCTCCCCTATCCCTATGCGTCTGCAGCCATTAAAATGTTCATCCCGACTTTACGTGATTTCTATTTTGTCACTTCAAATGACTACTCTGTAAATTTTTTTGTTTTAAAAATTATTCCTTTAGTTACCTATAATAAATTGGCTTAAGAGTTATGAAATATATATTTTTCAAATTATTAATGTTATTTAGTAACACACGTCTCAAAAACAATCACAATTCATTTGATACGTAAAATAGTCTGCTTTCGTACTGCTTTACTCACCTTGGAGCTTAGGATATACCGATGTTATATATTTTGCACATGCAAACTGATCGAGTACGTAAAAAAAATGTTATTCTTTAATTGAAGTACAAGCTTCGATAAATTATAAAATATAGAAAAACCTTGAAGTATTAATTAGAACAAAAGTTACCCATTTTATTTTCTGTTTTTCTGTTACGCCTGCATGACTACATAAATAAATACATAATTAATAACTTTTCCAATAGCGGGGGGGGGGGGATACTAAGGACTAATGTCTGTAAAATATTTTAATTTACATCGAATATATAGTAAATAATATTAAATACCTACGTATACACGTCATTGTGATTTGTTATTTTATTATTTTCCTTTTACGGCGTTGTTTCCTAGTTATTTACTAAAAAAAATTACTATAACTAAAATAAATAACAATATTGATTTTTTGTATTAATTCAGCATTGAAAATAAACTTGTAACTGTTTTGTATTTCAATACTTAAATAAAATTAATTTCATAACTACTACCTAATTTTTGAAGGATCTTGAATTGTGGTGTTAGCTTGAAAATTAAACATTAGGACATTAGGTACCTAGTGTCATTTTGTCGATTCACAGCAGTACAGGTATATATTATAGGTATTAAATTTCTAACAAAAATATATAGTGTTCTAGTATATTTTAAATAGGTAGTAAAAAATATTTAATCTTATTAAATCAATAAAAAAAAAAAAAAAATGTTTTTTTTTCTAAATTATGTAAATATTACAATGTTTATTTGAGTATGAACTATGAAAGGCACAAAAAACGTGATATTAAATTTACACCATTTTTCGTATTGTAATTTTCAGGTCGTTATTGCGTCATAGGCGGAAATAGGCGATAGGGCTTTATGGTTAAACCCCCCAAAAAATGTCCATAGCCCCTTCAAACATTTCTTAAAGTGCTTGCTCAATAATATTAAAGCAGGGCTTTGACGCCGATCGTCATTGCTCAATATTTTGGTTATACGTACCAGTGGCGGCGGGATATAATACTATTTGAAGCAATATTGCTTCATAGCTTCAACATAGTAAATTATCATTTTGATGTAATAAAGGGGATGGTTGGTGGTAAAAATATTAAAAATGTACAATTTGCTTCAAAGACTCAAAAAGTTCGCTTCGCCACTGGCACGTATACAATACGTAATTGGCCGCCGTGTTTAAATAAATCTTACTTTGGTTAAAATGTACTCACATATTATATGTGCTAAAGTGCTGTTTGTTACATGCATAGTAATCAAGAAAAAAGTCGTATCCAATATCGTTGTAAACGATACGATAGTCGTATATATTGTTATCGAACAGATAAATAAAACATTGTATCATTCGTATCTGCTTTCAAATCGCATCTCTGTAACCACGAAAAATTGTTTTTAATTTTTTCAGTCATCATTATGAGTGTAATAATTAGATTACAAAATCTGCCTTGGGCGGCCAACGCCGCTGATATCAGGCAGTATTTCCGAGGGTTGTCGATACCCGAAGGTGGAGTTCATATCGTCGGCGGTGAAAAAGGCGACGTCTTCATCTCATTCAGGTAAACTTGCATAATAGTGTCATTAACGCAGTGATGTAAATCATTATTAGGTGTGTGCGAATCTAGTCTCGACGCGGCGTTAGCCTTTATTTCGTTATATTCTTATTGTTATTTCGACAATTTTACAGTACCGACGAAGACGCTAGACAGGCTATGCTTTCGGACGGCGGATGCATCAAAGACGTGCAGATCAGACTGCTGCTGAGCTCACGTAATGAAATGCAAAAAGTCATCGATACTGCACGACAACAAACCTTATACAATGCCTACATGCAGCAAAATTTGATGCAGCAGCCGCAGATCCCCATAGTCGGGTCGTTGCCACCGCTGACTGCTAAGGTATATAGTAATAGTATATATTTGTATCTGAATGAAGACAGCACCTACCCCGTTGTATGACAATAAGTTAATGTTTCTCTTTCGAAAGTTGCTATAATGTACATTTTTTCTCGTAGGTCTTACCACAGCCACAACAACAGGTGAGGCCCGACCGACTAAATCCACAGATGTTACGTAGACCCCCCTTAATGGATAACATGTCGGTACTTATGCCCCAAGACAAACAGCAACTGATGCAGCAACAGCTTTTGTCTCCAAAATCGTCGGAGAGTAGAGATCGCGACGATAAAAGTCACAAACGTGGTGACCGATCTCGATCGAAATCCCGAGAGCGGCGTTCAAAGTCGTCTCGTAGTGGAGGAAGTCGACGGGATAGATCGAGGTCTAGAGACCGGCGGCGACGGGACAGGAGCAGAGGAAGAGACAGGTCCAGGGACAGGTATCGCAGTGCAGATGGCAGGAACTCGACGAGCCGAGGAAGTGGAGGCAAATCGCAAAGATCACGGTCGCCGGCTGCCAACAAAGGGACGGACGGCACACAACAACTTCAAATCAATCCTTGGGCCTGTCAATATGATAATATGCAGCAACAGCCTGTAGCTATGGCAGTAGAAAACCATCAGCCAGCCACGATGATGAACAACGTAATGCCCGGCAACCTTGGAGGATTCGCGCAATTCAGGACGCCTCCCCAGCCACCTATCGTCCCCATAATTCCTCCGAATTCCTTTCATCAACAACAACAACAACAACAACAACAACAGCAACCGCCGTCGTTGATGAATATATGGACGTCGAGTGGCGGAAACCACTCACATCTGCAGCAACAGCCGTACGTCCCTGACAACGATTTTCGCTCAGGCGCATACGGCGGCGGGGGTGGTAGCGATGACGAGGACGATCGACAAACAGAGTTTGACAACAATTTCCATGGAAAGTATAATGAAAACTCCGGACCGACCATGAGGAGGGGACCGCCCGGACAAGATTTCCGTGAACAACGAGGGTTCGGGCCAAACCGAGGAGGTCCACCTAGATTTCACAAGCCGCAACAGGCCGTGCCACCTGTTGTGGGTCAACACAACCATGGTGGCGCGAGAGGTCAGCGACCATTCGACGAGTTTGGTAACGGCAGCGGTGAGCCGAGGTTCAACCATCAGCAGCAGCAACAGCCACCTAGGTATGGCGGTCACAACATCCCCGACGGTGGTGGCAGAGGCAGACAATCCAGGTTCAGCTCGATTAATGAAAATGGCAAGCCTTCCAGGTTCAATCAAGTACCACAGCAGCAGCCGCGCAACGATAATGACGAAGGCCGGTCCTCCGAATTCGACGAGTCCTGCAAGAGGATGCCTCCCCGATACAACGACCGGTACAGGTATGACGTTCGGAACGCGCAGGTCCCTCACTCCGAGGGCCTGTGTGTGGAGGTAAACAACATGTGCAACCCGTTCTCGTATGGCGACATCCGCAAACTGTTCGAAGGCATACACATTGATGGGTCGGCTATCAAGATCCAAAAGCACCGGCAGGGCGTGGCGTTCGTCCGGTTCGACAGCAACAACAATAAAAATTTAGCCATGAAGGTCAACGGGACCACCTACAAAGGCAACCACGTGGTGGTCAAACACCTGGACGACAAGGCATACGAGCGAGACAACACGGACGACCGACCGTATCCGAAAGCGACGGTGCCACCTGTAGTAGTGGACTTTGTGGACGACGATGACGACGACGACGACGTCGCAACTGACAAGCCGACGGTGTCGTCCGACAAAAAAAAATCAAACAAGTCCAAGACCGATGACGAAGGAAGCGACGGCGACGACGACAACGATGATCTAATAGTGTGCGAGAAAATCACGAACAAGGACGGAGTGTCTGTTGATGGCGGCAGCGAGGAACAACGGAAGGATCCGCCCACCAAATATCTGAAACTCAAACAGCTTCCGGTCACGGTTGCCGAGGAAGACGTAATGAACGAGTTCGACGGTGGCACCGACGTGCGCCGCGTGATTTTTTATCCGGACGGCGAGTTCATGGGCGCCGCGCTCGAGTTCACCAGCATGGATGCTGCTGAATCGGCGCTCAAGCGGCACGACTGCGTCTTGTTGGGCTCGACGCCGGTACCCGTGCTGCGGTGCACCTACAAGGAGTACTCTCAGATCAGGCGCAAATCCGACGGTGCCGGCGCCGGCGTCGACGACGACAGACGCTTTTCGAGCGACAACAGCAGCAGCAGCCGTCACCACCACCACAGCAGCAGCCACCATCATCACCACCACAGCGGTAGCAATCACCACCAACAGACGCATAATCATCCGGCGGCTGCGTCGTCTTCGCCGGTGGCGCCGCCGCCTCCGATCGTGTCGGGCTCTGCGCCTGTCATCCGTTCCAACTGCCTGTACGTGTACGGCTTGCCGACGACCGTCACCAACACGGACATCACTCAGTTCTTCTCCGACTCCGTTCTGCCCGACAAGATACACATCATGCTCAGCAAGTACGGCCGCCCGACCGGCGAGTCGTACTGCGAGTTCGGCACCGCGCAACAGGCGAACGCCGCCCTCGCCAAGAACCAAACCTACATGGGGCCGAACCTCGTGGCCGTGGAGCCCATCAACCGGTCGCTCATGATCCAGGCCATCACCAAGCCGATGCAGCAGCACTCCAACAGCCAACAGCCGGACTTGCAGTCTTGGGGCGGTGGTGGAGGACCGCCGTCCAGGCATCAGCAGCACCACCAAAGACCTCCACAGTCTCAGCAGTACGGCGGACCGTACGGCGGCGGCGGCGGCGGCGGTCGACCGCAGCACCAACAGTTTAACAACATGAACAACGGTGGGGGCCGCGGCGGCGGCGGCGGTTACACGCCCAGGATACGCGGTCCCGGACCCGGTCCGAACACCGGTCCCGACGGGTTCGGGCAGCCCGGGTGCGTGGTGGCCCTGGACAACGTGCCGTACCGGGCCGACGTCAAGCAGATCGTGAATTTCTTCGAAGGTTTCGAACTGCACAGCCAGAACGTGATCCGGCGGTTCAACGATTTCGGCAAGCCGACCGGCGAGGCGCGCGTCAACCTCAGGAACCCGCAGGATGCCGCTCGGGCTGTCCGGGAACTGCAGAATAAGACTATTTTCAACAGGCCGATCCAACTGACGCTCCTGTAAATAATTCCGTAACGATCGACAATGTCGTTGTCGTTGTTGTTGTTGTTGTTGTTGTTGTTATGGCGGCCTCGTGGACGTCATAATAATATGCGTGCGCGACGATGTAGCGTATATAACATTATATTTTACGTAATTCGTGTCAACCGTTTTCCCCATACTATTTTGCTAAATATAATTTTATTTTTTTGTAAAAAAATAAGAGATTTACTATTTGTATCGATTTTCTATTTATTTTGTTCGCTGTATTTTTACACTGTCGTAAACGTATAATTTTATTATAACGAATTGTAATTTAATTTAAACATGATGTATAAATATCTAATTTAATAATAATATATTACTTATGCGCATGTTTGCAGTACGAATACTATGAAATAAATATATATGTACCTATACCAATAAAATGAACCAAATTAAAATGTATTGTTCAACCTTATTACTTAATAAACTATACCTATGGCTATAAGTAACAATTTATAACAAAGATTGTATTATAATATTTTTTTTATTATTATTTAATATACCTTATATTGTAAGGATTTTTGGTAGATGCTGAAATGAGCGTTATCTACTTATATGTGGATCACCCTGCAGTGTTACGTATGATCATTTTAAAATACACCAAAAAGGTCATATAACTTACTAAAGAATAGTAATATCTATTAAAGCCGCTTACATATTGAGGCCCTAAATAATAATCTTACCTTTAAATTGTATAATAGGTGAAGTCACTCAAATATCAAAACTAACGGTTCACTATTGAAACTAGTGAACACAAATTTGCCAAGTCGTAAGGTTTGCGGATGCGACGTCCTCTTAATATGGAAACACTTTTCCCACCAATAGTCAGTGTAACAAGGGCGCCCATATTATGGGAGGCAAGGAAGGGACATGTCCCACCCTGGAAAATGTCGAAAATCTTAGAAAATTGTTTACTGTGATCAGAATCTATTTATTTAGATAAAATTAAAAAAATTAATTTAATTTATGAAAATCTATAATTTGTTAATGAAAAATTGGTTTATTTAGTTTGGCGAATCAGGTTATAACAACACACATTTTCTTTTTTATTCTATGGATAATTATCTATTCTTAAAATATTGTGCGTTGCCACAAACACTCTACGTATATGTGTATGTGTGTGTTTGTGTACACTATACACCCCCTAATATTCTATTTATGATCACAGATTTATATATAATTATAATTATATATATATGTAATAAAGAAATACGGAAACGGAATGTTTATTAGATATTTAATAAATAAATGTATTATATTTATAACTTTATAAGTATTGTAATCTATAATATTAATTTTATGATTATAGGTACTAGATAGTAGAGATTAGAGTTTAAAATAGAAAAGTGAAAACTATTAAAAACAAAATAGATTCAGCAATTATAATTTAACTATTTATTATTTATTATTAAATAACACATTATAATAGATTGATAAATTAAAATGTTGCCCTCCCCCCCTTGAGAATTTTCCTATGGGCGCCCTTGCGTGATAAAACCGTTATATTTTGTAAATTTGACTCTGGTCATTTTTACCGCCAAAATAACGTCAAGTGACTGCGAGTCTGTGAAATCCGTTTTATTTTGTCTAAAAACGTATGTCAACTAGAGAATTAATAACATAAGCGATCTGGTTCGATTGAGAATTTTCTCGACGGTTGGACGGTTTTACCTATACTTACGGCCTGTACTGCTGACACATACTCGACAACCGTTTTATTAAAAGCTCGACTACAGCTGATACATCTCAACAATTGATTTATAACATCGAGATTCTGTCACTTGGATTTAAATTCGCTCTCGAGGCCGGTAAAACCACCGACGCGAAAAAGGTTCGACCGAAAATCGGACGGAGAAAACGACTCGTGTCTGACGAACGTAAACAAATTGTGGTTACAGTCGCCCGTAAATGTACTACATTACCACATACCAGTGTTTCTCAACCTCCATTTACGACGACACCCTAATTTAGATACAAAATAAAACCGGCCAAGTTGGACTCGCACACGAAGGGTTCCGTACCATTAACTATAATAAGAACGGCAACAAAATCATGTCTGTTGTATGGGAGTCCACTTAAATATTTATTTTATGATTAGTATTTGTTGTTGTAGTGGCAATAGAAATACGTCATCTGTTAAAATTTGAACCGTCTAGGTCAGTGGTTTTCAACCTGGGGGTCGCGAATGATAGGTTTGGGAGTCGCCAAAAATAATAGATGAAATTATTTTTCCATTTTATTTAAAAATAAAATATAGTTAATTATGTATTTTTTTTATATTTAAATTTATTGTATATGCTTGTATTGTTTTAAAATAATGTTGTATTATGAATTAATTAAATTTTTAAGTGTAAATTAATCAAAATCGTATAACATAAATATTTTTTCAGTAATTAAATCAAATTTTGATGAATAAAACAACATTTTTTTTGAAGGGGGTCGCAGTATAAAAAAAAATAAAAATGGGGGGTCGCCACCCAAAAAAGGTTGAAAGCCACTGGTCTAGGTCACGGTTCATGAGATACAGCCTGGTGACAGACGGACGGACGGACGGACAGCGAGTCTTAGTAATAGGGTCCCGTTATACCCTTTGGGTACGGAACCCTAAAAAAGGTGACTCACTTGAAACAAATAATGAAATGAGACATCTCCACAATGGGATTCTACCTTAAAGTCCGGCGAAAAAAATTTCAATGTCATGAAAGTCCGATTTTTTTTATTATAATATACATTTATTTAGAAGTTAATTATTTGTTTATGTACACAATATTCTACTTTTATGATATACAGTGAAACCTCTCATAACGAACACCTCTAAATAGCGGAAACCCCCGAATAGCGGACGTTTTTACATTTTTACGATTTTTGTATAGTAAAACCCCTAAATAGGGGCCAGACACTCTAAACAACGCACACTTTTAGGGTAATTTAAATTTTGATTTTGACAATTGTTCTCTTAAATATAAAATAATCGTGAGATACCTAAAAAAAATAACAATCTACCTAATCTAATTTGCTTACTGTATATTATTGCAGCGTTCCCAAATTGTGTTCCGCGGAACCTTAGGGTTCCGTGGACTGTGGGAGTCGTGGGACAATGTCAAGGGTTCCGTTAGATGTATGAGATTATTGAGAAAATTATGTTTATTTAATGTTTGTTGTTTAAAAAATGTTTGATTGAAAATTTTTTTTTAAACTAAGTTTAATAATGAAAAGTCATTAACAGTATCATTTAAATATTATTTGGACTTGAGAGTTTAAGGAATTGATTTTCCTTTTTTAATTTACAAAAATTGTAGTTGAGTTGGATTAGACATTAAGGTTTCGCGAAACACAAACAATTTTTTAAGGGTGCCGTGGTCGTAAAAGTTTGGGAACCGCTGTAATTATTGTACTACATATATACCTACAGTGTAGTATAGTATTGTTTATTTTATCCGTCCACTATCGCGACGTTGAAACCATTTTTTCGATTCATGTTCTGTGAAGTTATCTTACTCGTATTTATTTGTGTTTAAGATTCTATAACACACGGACGTGTTCTTAAACTTGTGTTAGTAAGATGGCTAGTAAAAGAAAAAGATTAAGTCTAAAAGAAAAATTGAGATTCTTGAATTTCGATCGCGTAATCCAAATATGGGTATTCGTGCTTTCGTAAAAAAGTTTAATTATAGCAAAACACAAATCGCAGAAATCATAGCTAATAAAGACTCCCTCTTTACAAAACCTGGATTGAAAATGGATAAGAGAATCGAAATCATATTATTTTAAATAAACAATAATATGTACAATTGATATTTATTTATTTATTTATAATTACAATAATACAAAATATATTAATATATACATACCATTAATTATTATATTACACATATACATACCATACCATACATATTATATACATGTTGTGCATATTACGTAGTTATTTTTTTTCCTTCAGAATAGCGCACACCTCTAAATAACGGACACAATCAAGGTGACCGAGAGTGTCCGTTATTTGGAAGTTTCAATGTAGAATAAAAGTGCTCAGTCTGTGTTTTGTATCGTATAAACGCTGTACCTAACTGTGTAACCGTACATTTTGTGAAAATCGAGTCAGATTTTTGCCGAGGCGATTATAGTGGTCTTATCTGGTTGAAATTTTGAAACTTTTATGGACACAAAAGTATAAGACGTATATAACAATATACTGCATAGTTTATTGGTTTAATAATTATTCAACAAAAAAAAAAGTAGACTACATGTTTTTTTCAGTTAAAAATAACAATGAAATAATTCATATATAACAGAAAATGTAGCAATATTAAAAGAACAAATTATGGCAGACTCCCTACTAACAACTACAACTAAAAAAAAGGTTGTTCAAACCTGTGCGGCTCCCTGGACATCGTGGTTTTGAAATTTTTCGAAAAAAATGGATCTTTCTTGCGATAAGGTTCCCGCCTCTGTTATAGGGTTTGAAGTCAATGTTAAATATCGATATAAAAACCATCGAAGAAATCAAAATCATTTTTTTTTTATGATATTCAAAATTCATGTTGAAATCAACACAATTTGAATTTAATAATTTATGCCAAAATAATAATCATATTATATATTTTTTATAATAATAAACCAATCGATTTAAAAATAAGGATTTATACCGCGGTCATACTTTACGACTTTACGAGACTTCGCAGACGGATATTATCCATAAATTGCAGCATCGGATGAATAAATGTATCAGCATATTATACGACATACGTTGGTAGTTGGTTTTTTGTCCCGAAATATAAATAAAATACATGTACTTAACTAGAAATTAGAATCTAGATAATTATAAAATTAAATAAACGTATTATTCTCTTTGGGTATGCAAAAGTGGACATAAACTAGGCCAGTAGTTAGTTAAAAGATAATTAGTTTTATAATTAACAAAATAACTTCTTAATTTAAGTACCTACTATTAGCCGTTGATATTAATCTTGACTTTATATAGTTGATTTGAAAATGAATTGGTTCGACGTAGATAATTAGTTGATTAAACTGTTTTATCGTAACATAAATAATACTACATATAACATATTACATTAATTGAAGGAATGTAGAATATTATGTATTTTTCTGGTGTTTTCCACCGACAGCAGAGGAGGCTCTGGTTGACCAATACTTCTCCTCTGCTACCATTGTTAATTGACAAATAAAATCAATTTATGTAAATTATTATCCAAAATTACACTGTAAGATTAGTTTATTATTAAAAATAAATATTAGTGTACAACTGTAAAATTAAAAACAATACATCAGCTCTAAACATATAGACTCAAGAACTATAGTAAAATTTTTTATGAAACACCTGTTCTACCAATGTAATAGGAGAAGAGTAACAAACGTCGATAAGTACCGACGAACTATGTGTGTGATTACTGATTACATATTCAATATTTTAGAGCATGATGTTTTTACAGTTAATAAATGGCTTTATTTTATTTTATTAAAAATGTAATTTATTTTATTTTATTTCGACCAATGGACAATTGGTACTAGTATTAGTTATTAAACTGCGATTGTCCCATGGTCACCTTCCGACTAAAAAAATAAAGCGCTTCATCACTTAGAGCAGTAAAAAATAATAATAAAATAGGATAAGGTATACATTTTTTACAAATTGATATAAATAAAACTAATATACAATTAATAATTTTCTAGGGTACTAGATAGGTAAATATTAAATAATATTATATCTGAAGAAAAAATTAATTCTACTGCCCCTCCCCCCTGAAGTTTGACATTTTAGCTTTTACTTGTTCTAAATCAATGATTAAAAAATAATTGATACTTATTATCCATTTATTCATAACATGATGTATATACATATAATTTTAATATTTAAAATGTAATATGAACGATATTTGTAAAAATAACATTGATTAAAAATACCGATTTACCAATGACAATGTTGTTTTGTTTATGGAAATTGTTTTTAAAAAATATCTAACTTAAATTGTACAGTTGTTTATGAATATCGTTATATAAAAAACGGTAAGTTTAAAAAAATAAATAAAATAGATTCAACCTAAATCTTGAAATCATAAGAAAAAAAACTTTGATAAGTTTTTTTTTAATGTTGGCAGTACACTTGAAGCGTCCATAAACCAGCTTTCTATATAAACAGAAGTTATAAATCAAACAGTAATACAAATTGTATCATGACGATACATCTTCAATTCCCAAAGATATTTTTAATAATTGAGCCATCGTTTTCTTATCAGGCTCTTCATCATCTGGTAAAAAGTATAAAAAATGTCCTTGTATGAATAAAATACTTATACAATTAATAATTATTAAATAAACCATACCATTTCCACCTCCTGTTACTTGTTGTTCAAGATTTAATTTATCTTGTGCTACCTTAAACATGGATTCTTCAACGGAATCTTTACTGATAAATTTGATCACTTTGACAGGTCTGAAAAAGATAAATATAATTCATTCAATGATGCATTTAACACGTTGACGCCATGTGACCGCCAGCAGTCATCTTAATTCTTATATCTTTTGTGACTGCCACGCCACATGGCCGCCAGCAATCATAAATGAAAATTTTAAATGATTAACTTTTCCATTGCGTTACAATAATGTACTAAATATAGCACAGTGGCCTAGTGGGAATAATTACAATTCACTTGGCGTTATAAACATGTTATTTTTATTTTTTAGATAAAATGGTATATACAAATAAGGTTTAATAAGGAAAAATATGTTTGGTGTCAATAAACAAATCCTATGTCTAACGGCAGTCACATGGCAGCCAATGTGTTAACATCAGGATAAGATAGGTTTATATATTAATAGGATAAGACGTTCAGTCTACTAGCATTAATCAATTATGAGTTATGACGGCAGAAAAATATAATTGCATATTTTAATCAACATAAAAATTAAATTTATCATTAACAAAGTATTTTGATTAACATTTTGATTATGATAGACAGAAAAATATCTATTTTCATTTGTCACATAGATAAATGAGTCATATTATAAATAAATATTGAAATAACTAATAAGTTATTGTAGTTAAATTCTATGTAGAATAGTAACAATAATATTTTTTCATAGTTATTGCGTGACTTATTCCTAAGATGTGACCAATAAATCAAAAAATTCTTAATGATAACTTTGTAATAGTTGTAATTAATAAATGTCAGCTAAAAAACTAAATATGATAAATTGATGTTACAATATATCATAAGGGTAGATGAACTTCATACTTATCTTTAACCATATTTGAGTAGCTTAAACAACTTATACATAAAAAGTAATATCTACAATTATTAATTAAATAAAATAAAACTTATATTTGTCTATAGTTTTAAATTCTATATTTCTATGCCAGATTTCTTAAACTGATAAGTTATCTTTAGTTGCTTTCTATATATTTTAAGGTAAGACAGTGGACCCCTTAATTTTTATTTCAGGCTGTGACTAAATCTCAACAAGTTTGTTAAGTTCCTTGAAGTACACAAAAAAAAAATCTAAAAATGTAAATTGAAGACTGTAGGGGTCAACCATATTCATACTATAATGCAGGCAACATGTCTAAATAATAAACTGGGTTACAACCAAGAAAAGAAATAAATATTACCCCAAAGCTAGTTTTTTTCTCTTAAATTTACAGCATATTAATACAAATATTCTGATTCAACTCATAGGTAGAATATTTTAATAACTTATTTTAAATCAAAAATTTTCAAATAAATCAATACTATACAATAGTTTTTAAGAGATGTTTGTCTAAGTCTTGGTGATAAATATTTAAGGTGGTTTATTGGTAGAGATAAAGACGAGTTAATGCTATAGACTAACGTCACGCATAACGAGTAATTACAGGGTAATAACAGGCGTATAGACCAGGTACAGGTTATACACAATATATGAGGGATGCGATGCGTTTAAAGATAATAAACATGATGCTAAGTAAATAAAAGGTTAGCATATTTTAACCAAGTCGGTTGTTTCTCGGAAGTACTATAATAATACTTAATCACGTATAATAATTTGTTGGTGCATAGTAATCTTGAATACCACTTAATAGATATTTGACTATACACATTGAGACGCCCAGGATGCGCACTCAGGGCGTGGGCCATTAGTATTTCCTGGAACGATAGCCGGCGGACACAGCATCCATGGGAATGATGCTCATACCAAGAGGGTTAGAAGAAGTAGAGGGTAGGCCTACATAGGAGACCCCCGAACAGCCCATATTCAGATGTAATTTGACCAGACGAGTCAGAGCACCTTCAAGCTAGTCAGTCTTTTGATTGTATTATTTTGGACTTAGAATAATTTCGAACAGTTAATTATTTGGACTTAGAAAATATTCGAATCAACTCAATATTTCTCTGAACACTGAATAATTCTCTGCGACAAATATTCTGGCACAGATTATTCGATCCACAGTTTTAAATTACATTTGTTTCTTTTATTAAATAATAATAAATACTACATCATACACCAAGCATTACAATATTAATTAAATACACCTCATCCTATTCCTCTCAACGACACCTGTAGTCACCAGACCACTACAGCCCATTAGAAACCTATATTTTGGAAGGAGTGGTCAATAAATAATAATATATAATACAATGATTATTCTAGGGATCGCACTAAACAAGAAAACCAAAACATTTATTCAAAAACTCACTTAGTCTGCCCAACTCTGTGGCACCGATCTTCTGCTTGTTTATCATTGTAAGGATTGTAGTCAATATCATGTATGATGACAGTGTCAGCAGCTGTTAAATTAATTCCCAGTCCACCAGCTTTAGTTGACAATAAAAAGGCAAATAAGCTTTCATCCATATTATACAAGTCGATCATCAGCTGTCTATTTGTCAAACATACATGCATTAACATTGGTTACTAATAAATAATATATTTTTGAATTTTAAAGTATTGTTTCTCATTACCTTTCTTGGACTTGAGTAGAACCATCTAGCCTTAAGTAAGAATGACCACAATGTGACATGTATATTTCTAATAAATCTAAAATTTGTAGGAACTGACTGAATATGAGAACACGGTGGCCTCTGTCTTTGAGATCAGGCAAAATTTCATTTAAAACTTTGAATTTGCCAGAATCCAAAAACAATTGAATTGGAAGGTCATATCCTAATTTGCTCAGACACTGTAAGAGAGAGTAGAGAATAATTATTTAACAAAGATTAATCATACAAATTAAATACCCTATAGTCTGTACACAATTTATGCAAATCAAAGTCAGACATAAATGATAAATCCTCTGCAATGTATTGTTCATTTTTTTGTTTGTACGTCGGTTCTATCGCTAATAACTTGGCCATTTTATACAATTTGTCATCCTGAAATAAAAAATAAAATTGAACTTTCATAAATAGCAGAATAAATATTATCAAATAACTTACAACTTACCTCGAAATGATATCTCAATAAAAGTGGATGATTAGTCAATTTTCTCAACATCATTAACCACATCATATGACTGTTGTCTGATACTTCTTTGCCTCTGGTAGCTTCTTTAATCTCATCTACTAGTGTGTTATAACGAGTCTTCTGGTGTTCAGTCATGACAACATTGTTGACAACCAATGTTTTTACAGGCAGCGATTTTAATACATCTGCTTTTAAACGTCTCAACATGAATGGTTCAATGATTCGTTTTGCTTGTTCAATACGATGCATTTCATATTTTGAACCAGTATTTTTCTATATTTGATTTATATACATTTATAATAATATGTTAGACCTCAACTGTTTCTATTGTAAGTACTTACCGTTCCTTTAGAAAATAAAAATTTAATGTTATCCACTTTTCCTCGGAATAATGTTGGCATAAGAAATATTAACAGTGACATTAACTCTAACAAATTATTTTGCAGCGGTGTACCAGTTAACAATATCTTATAGTTGCCCTACAACAAAATCAATAACTATAAAGATAAATATTATTAAAAAAAACACTAAAATTATTCCCTACATTAAAATTAGAGAAAATTTCATAAGTCAGTGACGTCATATTCTTTAACTTATGTGCTTCATCGTATACAACATAATGGAATTCTTTAGTTTTAAAAAACTTTTTTTCCTCTGGAGAATTTGCTGCACAACTATAACTGTAAATACAGATTAACATCAAGAATCAATACGCATTAATACTCATAAAACATTATTTATTAAACATACGTAGTCAATACCACATCAATGTCACCAAATCCATTTCTTATCCATTTTGTTCGCATGTACCTTCTTTCATCCATTGATCCATGATATTTTTCAACTATCATAGTTGGACACCACCTTTTAAATTCTTGGTACCAGTTGTCTAAAATTAGAGAAAAAAAATGTTTCAATCATAAGACACACAAATTTATAAATAAAGTACCTAAAGTTGAAGCAGGTACAACTATCAACTGGGGCAGATCAGAAATTGTGCGACCAGTCTCCTTGAGATGAGCTAGGAATGCGATTACTTGCACAGTCTTACCCAAGCCCATTTCATCAGCTAACATCATATTGAGCTTTTGTGTATTCATTAACATGAGCCAGTTAAGTCCTATCATCTGGTATCCTGCAAGCTGTAACCTATCTTTTGTGTTAGTCAAACAAAATTACTATAAAAAAAGAAATATCATACTCTTTATTTAAGCTCTCTGGTTGTGATTTGATAAGCATGTTAGTGGTAGTAATAGAATTTCCATTTTTCAATGCTAATATTTCACATTTCTTCATTAACTGTGTGACGATTTCCTGGCAAGAGACCATGTGCATCACATTTTGTAAAGTCTGCTCACCAATAATGCGCGAGTTTTTGGCTTTGCAAGTCTGTTGTAAGAAAATAAGTATTATTATAATTAATTCACAACAACGTGCACATTTCCATGATTTCCACTTACAGCATCATACCAAGTTGAAAATGGTCTAAGAGCAACAATAGCATCAAATTTTTTAGTCGTCATTCCTTTCACTACTCTTAGTTCTGCTTCATTGGATGTGTTTAACAGTGCCAAAGCTTTTTGCCTCATTTCTGAGGAACTGTCTTTAACAAAATTCTTTTCACTAAACACAAGAACAATAAAAATTATAAATTATATAAATATAAAGCACGGTATATTATAAATTATAATATACTGTGATATAAACATAATAATTAAAAATGAACATACTCTTTATATTCATCATCAACCTCAGCATCAGAATCACTGTCATCACCATCAGAAGTTTTTATACGTTTCCTTTCTAAAAATACATAAACATAATTTTATTACTCATTGAAAATACTACATCAGCAAATAGTGTATTACAACATGGATATTATAAGATAAAATAAGTAAATTATATTTTAAAATAAATGGTGAGTATTAAACTAAGTAAACTTAAAAAATAATAAATTAATAAAATGCTGAATATATAACCTAATGCACTATTATCATTATAACAAGTGTTCATATTAAAAGTTTGAAAAGTATATGCAACCAATTAACTAGCCCAATTGATGACTATGATCATACTTCCATAACATTATTTTATTTGATATTTTGCTAAAACCATTTTGTACAAACCATGACAGTAAAATCAGATTAATCTATAACAGAAACTTATATGATTATTGAATATTTAGAAATTAACACTGAGTTATATATTAAATTAAACTATACATTAATTGTGCATTAACATACGTTTATTTTGTTTGAAAATGGTAATTTATAAAGTTACATATTTAGAACAAACAGTTAGTACTTTTTTAAAACTATTTATCGTAGCAGCTACTGTAATATACTATTGTGTATAATTTATTATATTTTATTAAAAAAGCTTTCAATTTATGGTTATTAATTTTGGCTTCAAATTTTACCTCAAAAATCCTTGCCCACTTAACAACGAAAGTTAAGAAACAGGTTGAAATATAAGGGTCTCCTTAAATGTTGACATTTGATGTTCATAACAATAATAAAAAGAATGTTTAAATGTATGAAAATGTATTAACAATAAAAAATTGTAAATAATTACCATGAGTTACCCACCACAACCCCACAATAATAATTAAATTATTAACAATTGTTATAATTGTAATATAAGTTGCTTTATATTTTAGTTTTAGGTATATCATAGTATTGATTTCGAGTATTATATTTGAATTTACTTTTAGTTTGTGGTTGTAAACGTTTTCTAGAAGGCATTGCAACAGGTGGTGGAGTTGCCTTTGGTTTATCAATAATAGATCGAACTTTTGTAATTTTCATGTAATCTTTATCACTTGTACTTTGATCTATATTGTTAAAAGACTTGATCGAACCATTGACATTGTTTAGTGCATGATCACTACTGCCATCACTAGATACATTATGATCTTCTGCTGTGTCTTCAAATTCAATCTTAATCCAACAAATAAATATTATTCAATGATAAGCTAATGTTAGATAATGGTGATTTTATAGTTACTTCTTCAATGAGATGAGAGCCATCTCCATTCAAGAGAGGTTCTGTGTTATCATCATCTTCATCAGATGACAAAATAATTGTTTGCAACTTTTTCTGTCTAACAAATACTAAAACATAAAATATATAATTTAATTTAAAGTTAAAACTGTACAATAAGAAATGTAAAAATTAAAAAACCACCTTATCATCATTAATTAAATCAGAACAATAAATAATGACAATTTCTGACGGTTTGAACATTGTTCCTATTTGATAATAATATGTGGAATAATTAGGTTAATCATAATCTATGAGTGCAGATTTTCCAAATAAAGAGGCCGTTGTAAAAAAAAAATGTATAATATAAACTTAAGACAAAACAATTACCTGGGGCATCGTCAACACACAATGATGATCCAGATGCGGCAGATTCATGACTGAAACTGGGCTTCTTGGAGAACCTGAACGAACGCAAGTCACCGAGAGCATTTGGACTGGGGCTGTCGCTGTCCCTGTCACCCGGGGTGCACATCTGAAAAATATCCAAACACTCTAGTTCGCCAGCAAAATATCGTGAACATCGGAAAGTGTTTTTCAACATTCTCGGCGGTAGTAAATCGTCCAATAAACGATGGCCCACTAACCTTTGTGTTCACTGTTCAGTAGCGTGCGGCAATAAACGCTGACGACGACCAGTGACCGCCGGACGCCGAGATCTATGAATTGTATTCAGGAGTGCCGTTTGCGGGCGGTTCGAAATTCAAACTTCGATTAGATAGTGTCGTTGAGCAAATCACACACAAACGGTCGCACATGCAACGATGCACAACTGCACAAGATCAACGGGGAAAATAAAATAAAAACCGTAGTGAAGGGAAAAAAAAACAAAAATTGATATAGCTTATCAGACCGCCCATGGAGGAATAAACAACGTATTCGTTATTATCGTCACGGTCAACTACAACTTGCAGCTGCTGCAGCAGCTGCTGATGATAACGCAATCGACATGCACGTTCTAAATATAGATAATTTTTGCCCTGATGGTTGGATGGATCTTGGATACATAAATACAGAAGCGTTGTACTGCCACTTACAAAAAAATATTTGTAACAATTTCGACTTATCAACTCGAAATTTCGACTTATCAACTCAGTGTTTCCAATTAAAAACTCTAAATGTTGACTTCCAGATTCAAAATTTCGACTTGGCAACTCGACATTTTTGCGTAAAAGTTTTTAAATATTTTGGTTAAGTTGTTTATATTGCTATATATCTTTCCCGATTACACAAAGATAAGAAAATACTATGAACCACGCCACCACGCTCTAACATATAATAAGCTAATGAAATAATGAATATTTATGTGGCACTGACTGACCATCATAAATTAAAAAACGGTTATGAAATAATTGAACGAGAGTTTAATTTTTAAAAAAAATATGAAGGGAGGCATGGGCGCCCGCAGGCAAATGATTTTTAAGAATCAAAATAAAAAAAAATATATATAAATTTGATAAGTTTCAAATTTTAAAATAAATTTGGGAAGGGGGGCATGGGCGCCTACGGGCAAATGAATTTTAAGAATAAAAAAAATAAAATTATGAAAAAAAGTGTATTAAAAACAAATCTTAAAGACAACAGTCTATAATATCAGTTTTCCTAAACTCAATGCTTTATTTACAATAATTAGATTATGAAACATTGAATATTTATAAGGCACTAGGTAGTTATCAAAATTTTAAAATGTTTTTAAATAATTGAAGTAGAGTTAAATTATAGAAAAAAAAATGTGAAGGGATTCATTGGTGCCCGCGGGCCAGTGAACTTTAAGAATCAAAATAAAAAAAAATATAAAAAAAGGGTATTTAATATAAATATTAAAGTCTGCAGACTACAATATCATTATTCCTA